CCACCAGCCACTCCTCGGAAGGAAGGTTGGGCAATCCTACTTCCGTAGTGATACTGCCTCGGAAACCCAAGGAAGGGTCTCTATGAGTCGGGCCGACTTGATGGCAAAACAACAACAACATATGCCAGGCACTCTACTAGACAGAATAAGGCCTCCAAGTGTTCAAAAAAGAGTGAGTGAGATAGTTTGAAAGCATAATTATAAAACAGAGTAAAGAATCATAAACAAATTATTATAGAAATCTTTGAAGCAGTAGCAATTCCGAGCGGTCAGAGAACATGAATTGTGAGCTAGCTCCGCATGAGGCAGTTTTAACTAGGCAGATAAAAGGGGGAAGAGGTATTATCATAAAAAAAAAAAAAAAAAAGTCAAATGCTATAAGACCTAGAGGAGAGAGTGTTTAGGGAAATTGTAAAATGTCTAATTGTTTGACATGTTGTAGGTGTTGGATAAAAAATGTGGCTAGAAAGGTGATGAAAAGACACTTAAAGCCTGGCTACAACATTTGGAGCTTTTTTTTTTTAATGCATTTTATTGAATATAATTTTTGTACAGTGAAATACACAAAACTAAAGTGACATGGGTCAGTGCATTTTTTTTTTTTTTTTTTTTTTTTTGCAGTGTTCCCTCTCCTTTCCTCCTACCCCTGGCAACCAACAAAGAAAGTTTCCCTCAATATATAAACCTTTCTTTGACCCTCCACAACAATGAACTAATACTATATTTGTCCTTCTGTGATTGACTTATTACACTCAGCATAATGTCCTCCAAGTTGAACCATATTATGCGGTGTTTTGCAGACTCTACATTATTCTTTAGTGCTGCATAGAATTCCATTATGTGTATGTACCACAGTTTGGTCATCTGCTCTTCCGCTGATGGGCACATAGGTCCATCTTTTTGCTATTGTAGATAGTGCTGCGATGAATATGAGTGTGCATATATCTGTTCCTGTCGTGGCTCTTGCCTCTCTAGGATTATATACCTACTAATGGGATTGCTGGGTCAAATGGTATCTCCAATTCCAGCTTTCTAAGGAATCATCATATTGCTTTCCACAGTGGTTGTGTCACTTCACAGTCCCACAAGCAGTGTATGAGAGTCCCAATCTCTCCACATCCCCACCAG